GAGAGAGAGAGAGAGAGAGAGAGAGAGAGAGAGATCCATGGATAAATCCAAGTGAGCTTCTCTTAACTTCAAACGATAGACATGAGCTCATATACTTTGTATGGAACTTTGAGTAATTCTTTGTGCTAACTAATACAAGTATTTTACTTGGTGATGCGTTACTAAGTTCTTACCTCATCATATACAAAAGGTTTCTTTCTTTCTTCCTCCCAGCTTTTAGTCTTTGCTATCAGCATATCCACCAAAGCTGCATATTTAAAAAAAGAAGAAGGCAATGAAATGAACAAGTCCTAGATGAAGACTCTAATCAAATTTCCAGCTTGTTTACTCGATTACATAATGGATCTGACTAACTTGTAGAAGCACAGCCTTGTTAATTGATCTAGTCTTCTTTTAATTCAACAGCTAGTTGCTTAAGCCACTGTAAAGGCTTTATGGCTGCCAATTACTAGCTGATTTTGATGATTGTAAGCCATTGGAAGAAAATATTTTGATACCTGGTATTTTGTTAACCATGACTCTGGCTCGTTCTGCTCTTCTCAAATTCTTGTGAGCACCTCTACTTACAGAATACCGGTTGTCGTCCTAAAGATATGCATGTCTAAAATGAAAAAAAGTTGATGAAGAAAAGTGAATATGCTACTCAATCTCATAGGGAAAGCAACTGACCCTGCTATACTCTTCCAACCATCGTTCCTCATCACGAGCTAATATCCATTTTTCTACCTTCTCCATTATAGCCTTCCTGCTAGATGCTTCTTCTTGTGCTTGTGATATCTGTTTATCCATGCTCGCGAGGAGATCAGCATGGTCAATCTCCCCTTTTGGAGGTTTTGGTCAGTTTCAATTTCTAAAACAGTATATCACTTTAATAATTGAATAATGGAACACTTAAATTAGACCAACCAGAGTTCATTAGTTTAATTATATTTTCCATCTCTGGCCGTGTGGGAATTTCCATGTGGGATCGCTTGCAGATCTCCTCAAGCTCTATTTGTTTTCTGAGGAAAAGCTCTTTCATCTTGCTTGCTTTTAGCTGATCCAGTCTCCTGACTTCTGTGCCAGCCTAGGAAATTTTGAAACAACTTCAAATCTCTTACCTTGTAGTACTGGAGAATAAATAATCTATAGTTATAAAGACACTGACCTGCTGGATTATATCCAGAGTAAGGCTTCCAGGAATGGAGATATCTTCTGATGACAATGATATCAAAGCAGTGACATTAGAGAACATCACACGGTCTTTCTGGGGTGTGTCCATGAGATTCCACAAGTTTGTCAACGCTTTCCCTAGTTGTTGAAGCTACAATTAAATACTGCACAGTGAGGACAGCAATTCTGCTGATCTATTGATTTGTATTGATCCTTATATCTATACCATTTAAAAAAAAAGAAAAACACCGAGTTTGACCCACTTGAATTATGTTTCACTTACAATTTGCTTAAGGACCCGTTTGGCCATACATTTTGCCAAAATATATTTGTTTTTTTTTGGCAAATACATGTTTGTTCATAAATTTTATCCATGAGTTGTTCAAAGTTTCTGCATTTGTCATGAGTTGTTAACTACATGTTTAGGATAAAAGCCTGCTTGTTTTAGCTAAGGAATGTGCAGAGTTGATGGAATTACCTTTTCAAGCCGTATTCTTTTATCTGCTTCTAGTGACTGAACTGTGCTGTCAAGTTTTTCCAATATACTGTCACTAATGTTTTTTGATAGTCCAGATAATTCGTTCAGGCTTGGATGAACCTTTGTAATGATCAAAGAAGAATCTGTTCCCAGCGTTGCTGCTAAGCTCCGGATCATGCTAGTGTAGTTTTCAACCTTTTGAAGCCTCTCAATCTTTGATGTCAAGGACAGAGTGTTAAACAGAGAAAAAAAGATGGAGGGGGAAACAAAAAGTTCATAACCTTTCATTTGATGGGCATCTTAGCTAGTACCAGGACAAAAGTTAAGTATCTCAATAATACCTTCTCATTTTGAAGCCGCTGAAGCTCGTTCTGGAACTCTTCTAGTTTCTTTAGTGATAGATCATTCCCATTTGGTAAAACATTTGATAATGAATCATTGTACTCTGATTGGCCTGCTATTTCAGCAGAAATCTTCTGTATTTGTCCTTGAACTGCTCTGAATTGTTTCACCCTTTCTTCTTTTCTGATTCGCATCTCTCTCAGAGCAGGTGCAATTGACTCTAGTTGTTCCTTTAGTGTTCCAGCCATCTTTTCTGGCTGCCGGCACAAATTTACTCCTCATTATTTAGGTTAAATCATTGAGTATTTCTTATGCAAAATATCCGATGGCGTGCATGAATTATCAAAAAAGAAAATCCAACAATATATGTGTATCCTCTCAGATCATTGATCTAATTAACATCCAGTCATAGTCGTCAAGTCATGTCAGGATGCTTAGAGATAGTAATACTCTGTACATGAGTGTGCGCGCGCCTGGTTAGGGAAGGAAGTCGAAGGTGATCAGTTGTGCATTGATGTTGGTTTTTAGACTGGTTAACCTTTCACCCTGAGTTTTTGTCAATATTTCAGATACTTTAGGAACTGATGTCCATTAAGCCACTAGAAGCAAGTTAAAGTGTGTGGATTTATAGTTCATTGGTCATGATCAGCTCATACACATTTTCATTCATTCCTTTGGCTGTACATCTTTCCTTCATTTTCACTTTTTTGTATGATTTAGTCTGATGGCATTCTTGATTCCGTATCAACTAGCATATGAATTTGCATAGGTGGGTTTAGCACAATCACCGAAAACTCACATTAACTTTAATTTGACAAGAAAATGCAGACATGTTATCAGCAGTGGGTAGTGGAAAGAATCACGAGGCCCAAGCTGACTGATATAGACGCACTTCTATCTGTGGAAAACTCAAATATTCGTAGCAAGGAATATATAGCGCGGTCTTTAAGTATATTTCACTGCTTCAATTTGCTGATGATATTTATATAAATATTCATTTCCCTGCTATATGTTTTCATGCATGTGGAGGTGATCCCTCTAAGCATCATTTCCTTGGTGTTATAGCTTTCTAGTAGAGAAAATGTGGTTAGCATACTGGATAAGGGAATTGAGAAAGTTACCCTTCCGGGGAGTGATCTTTCGTCGAGTAATAAAAGGAGATGGGTGAACTCAGCCTCTGAATCTGCCAATTCTTGATGAAGTCGAGCTCTGGAGATGTTTGCATTGTCAACCTTCCTTCTGTAAACTTCCAGACACTCCTGTTCAATGTCCACTAAAACCTTTTCCCTCTCAAACTGATCTTCTCCCACTTCATCCCATATCATCTATTTTACAAACAAAAATTCCTTTAGTCCAAAAATGCACTTAAGTAACATCATTTGCACACTATAAACAGAGAACTTGCCTGTAATTCTTGCAGCAAATATCCGCATGATGTCTCGAGCAATGCTGAACTTCTTATACCAAGTGGCACTTGAACAGACCCCATATGAGAAGACTAGCTTCTGACCGGAGGGAGCACAAGCCGGGGGCTCCTGAGAAGAGTCTTTCTCTGGTAATCAATTTGAATTTTGATGTCCTTTAGAATACATTATATGAGGAATGATGAAGTGGGATCTTTGAGTATGAAATTATATTGTTGCTTAAAAGACAAGGTTGGTCAGGTTAGGTGATGGTGAAGCTTTGGATTCAAGGGTTCCCAATGGCTTTTGATTCTGAAAGTTATTCTTTATTGTTAATTTCTTTTTGAACTTTAAGAAAACAATATGCATCGTGTCGTTATCTGTCAGATATAGTTTCTTATTCAGATGTAGAGAGCTTAGATTACCCCATTGTTATTCCTACTTGAAGCTTTATCCAAACTTCATTTCTAAGCAATCTTTATCCAAAAGAAGCTGTAATGTACTTTATGCAGTGCTTCAGCATATTCGTCTGTGTTGGAACATGGCTAATATACTGTTTTTTTTTTCTTCCACCGGTAGTATTAAACCTCGTGTGCACTTGACTATTTCATTATATACCTATTACCTATCACCAGAATAGTTAACGGTAGATACCTATTACCTCTCACTAAAACAGTTATCGGTTAATACCTATTACCTCTCACTAGAACAGTTACCACATATCTCTGTTTTGGAGCATGGTTAATTTAGGTATCCTAATTAAGGTTTTTCATTTGAGGGTCTATTTGAAACATGCTCTCTACTTTTACAAGGTAGGGGTAAAGTTTATATACACAATACCCTCGCCAGACCCCATGTGGAACTACACTGAGTATGTTATACTTGAGGTTTTTCATGCCTTTTGTTAACCTATTCATTGGTTTAAAAACTGATCGTAATTGAAGTCTTGACTTATTTTTTTCTCTTCAGGCTTCGCACTTTGTGATTGATAGAGTGCTAATTTTTCCTATTACCATTATGTTGTTTCATTGTTGATTTTGTTGTAATATTCTGGGGGTCTTACTATTTTCAAACTTTTAGATCATTGAATAATAATGACACTTGCAAAGAATGTTGATTAGGTTTAAGCAAATTTGGAAATCATTATGCTAAGATTGAACATGTCACATCTCTTAGCATGACTTTCCATCTTGTCCACCTTTCCACTATCAAGCAGTAGGTACTAATACTATAGTCCTATTAGGACCACCTCAATGAAGATTTTGGGAACTTTAAATAGACTTAGGGTGTTTGGCACGATGAAAAATATTTTTTATCAAGAGAGTAGAAAATAGATTTTGGGAAAATAATTTTTATACTACTTTTCTCGTCTTTTTTTCTCCAAATCCCCATGTTTCCTGTGCTTCTCCCCCCTCCCCCCATACATCTAACGTTTTTAAGATTATATTTTCTTCAAGAATTTAATTTTTTTTATAGTTCATAAAAACCTAAAGGAACTAATGTGCTGCTTTACTTTTTCATGCAAAAATAATGTTGAAATTTGTGCTCCATAATTAAAAAGAAAATACTCTTTTTTAGTTGAAAAACAAATCTGTTTCTACAACATGAAAAGAAAGTGCTCATTTTGTTGAAATCAAAGAAAATAACTTTTCTACGTCATAAAAAGAAAATAAAAATAAAAGAAAATACTTTTTTTTACATTATGAACAGAAAGTATATTTTTTATGAAATAAAAGAAAATACTTTTTTACATCACGAAAAAAAAATACTTATTTTGTTGAAATGAAAAAAAGAGTACTTTATCTACAAAATGAAAAGAAANGGGGTGGATTGGTGGGTGGGTGGCGGGATGGGGAATAGGATGGGGAAGGTTGAAAAAGTTTTGGAAAATGTTTTCCCTTCTCTTGACAGAGAAAGTATTTTTCTTCAATTGGAGGAAAATAATTTCACGAGAAAAATTATTTTTTAAAACATTTAAGCCAATCAAACATTAAAAATTGAATAACATTTTTCTTCTTACGAGCGCACCCTTGGTATGAGGCATCTTTCAACTTATACTTTTTTTTTATTTGTAACTCGGTGTTGCGTATTCACTTTGAAATTTGATGAATCTGGATTTGGCGTCGAAATTTTTTCTTTGGATCTAAAGTGCTTGACAATTTGTGACCTCATCATATAAAATGCTCTGAAGTTACAATTTTTCCATACAAGGACTCAACAATTGTCAAATCATCATATGGTTAGAACCGTCTTTTTAAGGAACATGTGCAGCTACTCTATAATAACTTTCAACATTGTGTAACTTGGTATTAAGGCACTTTTGAGATTATCTAGATTTTGGATTTGTGGGCCGAAAAATCAACTTTGTTATTTTGTTACCATCTTTGGATCAGGCACATGTTACCTATCTATACTACATATAAAACTTATTTATCCTATCTAATCAAGTTTTAACTTAATTATATGATCATATGCAATTTACTAATTATATACAAATTAATTTTAAATGAGTATATGTACCGACCCGACCATTTATTTTGTGTATTTGCACCCCGTTTTCCCTTTTGATGCTTCACACATGTATGTTTATGGTTATATGACTTACGGGGTTGATTAGTTTCGTTCCGAGAGTACTTCGGGTTGAATTGGACCTTTTGGCTCTGGGCTTAGAAACCTAACTTGATTATGTTGACAAATGTTTGACTTTTGTGAAAACGACCCTGGAAAGGTGTTTTAATGGCTCTGATAATTTCATATTGTGGTTTTGAACTTGGGCGTATGTCCGGAATCGAATTTGGAAGTCCGTAAGTTGATTTGTGTTGTTTTACCGAAAATTGGTAATTTAAGGCTTAGAAGTTTGATCGTAGGTTGACTTTTGGCTATCGGGTTCGAAATTTGGTTTTGGGACTTATAATAGGTTCGTTATGCTATTTAGAACTTGCATGCAAAATTTGATACTATTTAGAGTAGGTTTGATAGGATTCAGACGTTTGGTTGCAATTCTAGAAGTTCTTGAATTTTACTATGAAATTCATGTGTTTTGGTGTATGATTCGTAGTTCTAGATGGTATTTTTGTGTTTTGATCGCGCGAGCAAGTTCGTATGATTTTTTAGACTTGTGTGGATGTTTGATTTAGAACCTGAGGGCTCGGATGAGTTTCAGACGTGATTCAAAATGTATTGGACTGAAAACAGAAAATCTGGTGTTCTAGTGATCTGATGTCACAATTGTGAGCACTAGCTTCACAATTGCGAACATGGCAAGGGAGGGTCAAGTATCGCAAATGCGATGCCTAGTTCTCATTTGCGAAGTATGGGCCTAGGTAGGATAGCTCACATTTGCGATGTTTTTTCTCGCATTTGCGAGGAGGACTGACTTCGCATTTGCGAAGTCTGAGTCGCAATTGCGACATTTACTCGGTGTATTAGTGGCCTCAATTTTGAGCCTTTCTTCGCAATTTCGAGTCGCAAATGCGACATCTGCAACTGAACAAAAGGTTAGAAAGTCGGGATTTCATATAATTTTATCATATTTTAGAACCTTAGGTTCGGTAGGAGGCGATTTGGAGTGGAGATTTTCATCTACAAACTTTGGGTAAGTGATCTAATCAATTTTCAACTATATTTTATGATTATATATTAGATTTAACATCAAATTTATGTGAATCAAAGAGGAAAATTGGGAAATTTTTGTCAAGTTTTTGAAAAATGAAGAATTGAGTTTTGAGAGTTGATTTGGACTCAAATTTAAAAATAAAATACATATATGGACTCGTGGGATGATGGGTAGTCGGAATATACCCTTGGATTCGGTTTTAGACCGGGCGGTCCCGGGGTTAACTTATGTTGACTTTTTGAGAATTTTGTAAAAATAAAAGCTTTATCTATTGTAATTGTTTTCCCTTGCATTGGTTGATGATATTAAGTCACTTTTGGTTAGATTTGAGCCGCGTGGAGGCAAATTTTAGGGAAAAAGCTATTTTTGAAGGTTGAGTTGGCCTAGTTAAGGTAAGTATCTTGCCTAACTTTATGTGGGGAAACTACCCCTTAGAATTTGGGTTGATTGTGCTATTTGTGTTATTTGAAAGCCGTGTACGCAAGGTGACGAGTCGGTACACGAGCTATATGTAGTATTTGATCAGTTTAGGTTATTTAGATTCTTTCCATGACTTTAATTGAAATGTCATAACATGCTATATCCCTCATTGTTAGTCTATTCTTAAATGTGTTAATTTACCCGTACATGCTTTATTTAACATTGTTAACACTTGTTCTACCTCTTACTTGTTATTTTGCTCCTATTTTTAGTTGAAGTTATTGCCTTCCTTAGTATCTTGTTACTTCTTAAATTGTTAAATTACTTTTATTTGAAGTTGTTATTTCGTGGAATTTCTTCTTGTTGAGTTATTTTTGTTGAAGTTGTAAAAGCCGTTATCATTGAGGTAAAGTTATTAATTATTGAGATACCTTTCTTGTTGATCAATTCACTTTCATTTTGTGAAGATTATGATTGAAATTGTGAAATGTGAATAAGAGGCAGTACCTCGGTTGTGATTCTTATTGTGCATTTCATATTGAAAAAAGTTATTGGTGAACAATCTTTGTTGCTTTTATTCTTCCTCGTCTTATTAGTTTTGTCCGTACTTGATTATTCGTGGTTCTCATTATTTGCTTCCTTATTGTTGTCTTTATGCTTACAATTCGGTCATTAGTTTACGTTATTAAACTGCTTTGTTATCATTTATTTCTCTGCTTTCCATTAGTTCCCATTGTTAAATTTTTGTTCCATTTATCTTGTCCTAGTAGGTATCTTGACCTGGCCTTGTCACTACTCTACCGAGGTTAGGCTTGATACTTACTGGGTACTGTTGTGGTGTAATCATATGTTGGCCCAAGTGAAGGTTAGTTTTGAAGATTGACAAAGAAAACTCAGGCATGAACCAGGTCCATCCCTTGTGATGCAAGAAATGGGCAGATTCGAGCATATGGGATGTTGATACCCAATTTTTCCCTATGTATTTTTATACTCAAAATACTTTCAAAATAGCATATGTATGCATATACAAGCACGCCCAAAGGCTTTGGTATTTTCCCAAAATTTTAAAGATTTTTAAAACCAATTTATGGCCTATTTTGCACAATAAAAAAAACCAATAATTATTCCCAAAAAACTTGTCACTTTGGCGAATAATTTATTTTATTCTCGCATTTCACAAAATATAATTTACATGATTTTTGCATAATTTTACAAGTCCATTTGGTATTTTTAAACTAAAATTGCATGAAATTGCAATTTTAGCCTATTTCTCGATTTAATAGCATTCGTAATCACAAAATCATTTCTAATATTTTTAAATTAATACTTATGCATTTCTTATTAACTCGGTATTTTTAAATTGATTTTAAACACTATTTACTATTTTTATAAAATCA